AAGTCATCCCTGCTTTCAGGGGTACTAGATGAAGCCAACTCCACACAAGCCTGAATCAATGGTTGCACCTCAGAGAACTCCGTGCCCTGATCTACTAGGAAATGAGCGATCCGTATGCATTCTAGCAGCTGATCCCTGGCATACTCCTTCAGAGTCTGATAGGCATAATCTCTGTCATCTAAGACTAGCAGATACAAGTACACAACCTCCTCAGGATGCATCCTTCCCAACAATTCCCAAGATGGCTTCCCTGTGCAGCCACTTCTGGTCAGGACTGGCCTTGGTGTAATGTCAGGGCTCCGGGTATGACCAGAGGTGTGTGGACCGACACAGGGAAACACAGACTTCAGGTATAGCGTGTAAAACAATATAATTTATTAAGGGCAACACAAACATAAACGCAGTGCAACAAACCAAACCCAAAACTAACACAAATACGTACAACAAGGTGCAACAAACCCAAAACTTAACTGATAGATAGATAGATAGATAGATATAGATATATATATATATATATATATATATATATATATATGGAGCACAATGTAGTCAGGCGGGCCGGGTCGGTAGCTAACGGGCAGACAAGGTACAAGGAATAGGCAGAAGATTGGTCAGGAGTAGCCGAGGTCGGTGCAGGCAGAGTTCAAGCAGAGTCAGGATCAGGCAGGAAGCAGGCAGGATGCAGGTACAGGGGCTCATGGGAACAATACACCAAGGCCCTGACTGCAGGCCTGGCCAGCCTTAAATACACCTCCTGCAATCAGCCTCAGGTGGTGGCTTGATTGCAGAGAGTGAACTTCTGGCTGCTGAGAGCACCCGCTGGCCAGCCCTGGTACTGCAGCCCACAAGGCAGGTGAGTCCCACCACCATTGGCGAGTCCATTCCTGACAAATGGGTTCTTTTCTGAAGCGCATAAGGACACCTAGCAAAGTATTGTTTAGGTCAGGGCCACTTAACAGTACGTTGTTTAAAGAAACTCCTTCATACTCTGCGCTGGAATCAAAAACTATTCTGACTTGGTTAGGTTTGTGTGGATGGTAAACACCAAACATGGGTAGATACCAGTGTTCCCTATCTGTCTCAATTGGTCCTGCAACTTCAGCGTGATCGTTGTCCAGCATCCTTTTAATGAATTCAGTGAAATCTGTTTTCGCTTCTGGCTTTCTCTGTAGTGTTTTGCTGAGTGAATGCAAACGCTTGATGGCTTGCTCCCTGTTACAAGGCAAGACACCTCTGGGTGTGCGAAAGATGAGAGGGGCCACCCAAATGTGATTGTCATCTTGGCAGGCCTCTCTATCCATAATCTGTAAGAAGGTCTGATCTTCTATAGATAGGGCCTGTTTATCATCATCTTTAGTTTTCTGGAACACTGTAATCCCTAGATTGTCTGTCTCAATGTCGGAATTGACTTCTTCTTTGCCATATAATGTAGAAGAGTCCCAGTGTTGTGTTGACCTGCCAAAGCTTTCCTTAACAACGAAGCTGTTGTGACAGGGACTGAGAAGAGATGTGCGTCCATTTGTTAACACAGATGTCTTCAAAATACTAATGTTGTCAGGCTGGTGCACTGTACCCAGGCAAACTTTTCCTACAATGACCCACCCCAGGTCCAATCTCTGTGCATAGGGGGCATTGTAAGGTCCATTGATTTGCTGGCGCATCTTGTGTACCCGAAGGATGTCTCTTCCAAGAAGTAGAAGGATAGAAACATCTGGCTCAACAGCTGGGATAAGGTGAGCAATTAAGCGGAGGTGAGGGTGATGATGGGCTGCTTTTGGAGAGGGAATCTCTGTTTTGTCATCGGGTATCATGCCACACTCTAGGAAGTGGGAACTGCACTTTCTTATTGAAGGATTCAATTGTAAAGCCAGTAGCTCTTCTCCCTGTGGTTTCAATTGTCCCTGCACATGTCCTTAGGGTGTATGGAACTGCACTTGCCTTAAGGTTAAAGGTATCAAAGAAGTCTGACTTTGCAAGGGATCTGTTACTCTGTTCATCCAGCACTGCATACATTTTCACTGCCCTTTCTCTCTTGCCAGTGGGATATACAGTCGCTAAACAGATTTTAGAGCATGATCGTGCACTCTTGCCTTGTCCACATACTTCAGTGCAATCCAACATTACTGAAGAGAGTGGGGCCTCTTGTTGCTCTCTGCCCTGATCTTTCATGGGTTCTACAGTCTCTAGTGGTGCAGGAGCAGAGCCAGGGTGCAAAGTTGCAATATGTCTCTCACTGCCACATTCCGTATATTCCACTGGTATTTTACAGTCTTTGGCAATGTGGTAAGTAGATCCGCAGCACTTAAAACAGATGCCGTTTTTGTTTAAGGAAGGACATCCGCTCTGCAATAGGTTTGCTTCTAAAGCCTTTGCATTTCTTTAGTGGATGTGTTTTTTTTGTGTATTGGGCAATGTCTATCTGGGTTTTCTATTGTACTGTAATCTTTAGGTTGAGGTGGTGGGAACACTTGTTTTTTGTTCCTAGGGGATTCTGGTGCTTTATTTTTGGTTTGCTCGCAGCCACTGACCTCTTGTGGTTGATTGGGCCTGGCCAGGGGGTCTGTAGATCTTGGCCTGAATTCCTTTGCTTCAGGTTTAAGAGACTGTTCCTTTGTATTTACATCAGTAAGGTTCTGGACGTACTCATTTGTACGATCTGCAGAGGATAGAGGTTTTTCTGGAACCTTTGGGTCTTTATATGCTTTTTTACTTTCTGACCAGCTTGTTCCCATGTAGGCAGCGGCCTCTGCTTCAGCAACTGCAGCTGCAGTCTGTCGTTGCAGGATAAGCAATTTTGATTCTAATTCCGCCTCTTCTTGTGCTATGACAGCTTTCTTAGCTGCTATCTCCTGCATCATCATGGCTTCTTTTTCTGTGTACTGTAGCTGGACACGGGCAGCTTCTGCCTTTGCACGAGCTCTAACTGCTGAGGAACTTGTTGAGGACATCTTGCTAGATCTTGTAGATCTGGACACATGTGACTGTGTATTGTCTTGCTGGGCGCTAGGGATGTTGTCCCTACCTCGCTGTGTCGGCGGTAGTGTGTCATCAGCCTGATACTTTGTTCCTGATCTTAGACTCATGCTGCAGTAATGGCGTCTCCGTTTATTCCAGACCGCCACGTGGGTGTCCTTTTACTGTTCTGCTTCGCGTTATTGAATTGTTGTATAACACTAGTCAGACAGTCTAACAATAATTCAGAAGAAACGTGAGACATCAGATCTGTATGTATTCTTTGTTCTGAATAACTTTGTAAAACTACAACATAAGCACAAACAAAACCTATGTGTCAGTACATTATACAACAGCTTCATCCCATCAGTGAGTGTACTCACAGACAATTCCACCATAAGTCCAGGAATAGCTCAGCGCTCCACTGTATGCTGATTGTTAGAACCAGAAGTAGTCACGAAATGGAGGATAGGAAGTTCCAGGTTAAAGGTTACTGTCTCAATGTGAAAATCATGATATAACTAGGCATAATAACTCTAACCACTAGATGGCAGCAACATCACATAACATTACAGTATATTACATACATTTATTTTCAACAATATGGGCAGAACACATACCAAACATGAAAATAATAGCTCAAATGACAGCATGATAAATTATACGGAATAGAATGCTATAGACTTAAATCAAATGCCATAAAAGTGTCTACCATAAAAATGCATTACATTTCATAGACAGGAGAGGCATAAAAAATAGTAGAGGTAGCTAAAACTGACAAGATAATAACATGTATAGAATAGAATGCACTGAAATAAAATCAAATATCATAAAATGCAATAGAACTCAACAAAGTAATAAAACGTGTGGAATAGAATGGTCTGGACTAGAATCAGATACCATAAAATTGTCTAAAAACCGCAATAAGACTCAGTATAGGAAGACATGTAGTAAACCATAGATCAGAAATAAATAAAAGGCAGGGCTCTCATAAACACATAAATGAAGATAAAAAATATTTTAAATATTTTATCTATAAAACAATGTCTGTCTATGTTGTGGCCTGCAGGGGTTAATGTCCTCATGTCATAGATTCATTTTGTTTCCGTTTGTGAAACAAGTCTGCTTTTGTTAGACCCTCTCCAATGGTTTTGAATTATATCTATACCAGTAAACTTTAGAGTAGATGAGCCTCTGCTATGGTGATATCTATAGTGTTTTGATAGTGAATGCTCCTTGAAGCCCCTCTTAATATTTTAAATGTGCTCCCGGAATCTATCCATTAGTCTTCTGTTGGTGCGCCTATGTACTGTTTGTGACATGGGCACTCAAGTAGATATACAGCATAACGACTGTTACACGTTATGAACGATGATATGTCTTTCCTGTAGATGTGGATGTGAAGGATTCTATTTTCTTTAAAGAGATTTTACTCTGTCTGCAAATCACACATCTTTTACATGGGTAAAAGCCTTTCATGGTAGTAAAAAATGTGGATCTTAAAGGGGGATTTATTACATTCGGAGAAATTCTATTTCTGAGGGTAGGTGCTTTTTGAAAAACAATTTCTGGCCTTTCAGGTAGGACTCTGTATAAAATAGGATCTCCTCGCAAAATGTTCCAATTCTTATTAATAATCTTACTGACTGTTTTGAATTGAACAGAGAAGGGCATTACAAATGGGCAGAACTTGCCATTTTTCTGGATAGTAGAATCTGACAACATGGAATCTTTGTTTAGACCAGCTATTTGATCCATTTCCATATCCAACTTGGCTTTATCATAACCTTTTTCGACAAACCTCTGTTTCAGTATTGTAACTTTAGTATGGTAAGTTTCAATATTGGTACAATTCCTTCTCACCCTCATAAATTGGCCCTTAGGGATATTCGCTAGACAGGAGGGATGATGGCAGCTATCTGTCGGGATGTAACTATTTCTATTGGTATTTTTTAAGAGTGCCTCCGAGATTATATGTCCTCCATCATTGATTAATGTTACATCCAGGAAATTAATCTCCTTAGTGCTATACGTCCTTCGCTCCAGCGATGTCCCCCCTGCAGCGTCTCCTCCCATCTCCTCCGGCCAATGCCGGCATCCGTCTCCCGGGTTCCGTTCTCTGCGACGTCGGGACGTACAGGGACAGAAGCGGCGGGAAATTAAAAAATGTTAAAAAGTGACATTCACTCAATCACATACAGTAGTAAAACATTACTGTAACAAACCATTTCACATACATTTTATCCCTAGTGCTTTGTCCTGTGCCCTGCCTGCATTTTTACTGTTCTTTCTGCCTGGAAACTGAGAAATGTGCATGGCGTCCAAAAAGCATCCCTTTAGGTCAAAAGTGGTTTTAGACCAGCTAGAGAACATTGATAGTAAGTTAGAACCACTTGCAGAATTGAGTGATAATGATTCGTGGGGAAATTCGTCATCAGACACCGAAAACGATTTTGCGACTAAGATCAGTGATGTGCGAACTTGGCGCTCTATTTCAAATTTCAGTGTTTTTTGGTTTGATTATATTATTGAATTAAATGTATTATTATTATATATTATTTTTTATGATTATTAAATTATAATTTATGATTTTATGATTCAAATTTTAACATACCCGAGATGTTTACTAGGCTCTTGTTCGGACAGATTTCAGTGAGTTATTCCTAAAAATTACAGGCCTACAATTAAAAAAACTACATATTTCCATGCAAAAAAATGTACTGCTTTGAGCACAGAAATACTGACATAATCATACTGCTAGAGAGGCTACGGCATCCTCTTCTGCTTGTCAGAATAGGAGGATATCATCTATATAGCATTTGTGAAAAATCAATTCTGGCCATTCACGGGCATAAATTGTCATCCTCCCATCTGGCCATAAATAGATTAGCCAGGCTGGGAGCAAACTTTGCTCCCATCGCGACATCTTTGATTTGCAAATAGTAGTTTTATTGAATCAAAAGTAGTTTTTGCATGGCAAAATCTAGTAACTCCAAGATAAAAGCCTTCTGTGCTATAGGTATGTGGTTTGCCTCGTTTAAATAGTATTCGACCGCCATCATCCCATCTTTATGATTAGCAGACTTGTTTCACAAACGAAAACAAAATGGATCTGTGACATGAGGACATTAACCCCTGCAGGCCATAACATAAACATAGACATTTAATTGTTTTATAGATTACAGCTAATTTTAAAATATTTAAAATATTTTTTATCTTCATTTATGTCTTTATTAGAGCCCTGCCTTTTATTTATTTATGATCTATGGTTTACTACATGTCTTCCTATACAGAGTCTTATTGCGGTTTTTTAGACAGTTTTATGGTATCTGATTCTAGTTCAGACCATTCTATTCTACACATTTTATTACTTTGAGTTCTATTGTATTTTATGGTATTTGATTTTATTTCAGTGCATTCTATTCTATACATGTTATTATCTTGTCAGTTTTAGCTACCTCTACTATTTTTTTTATGCCTCTCCTGTGTATGGACTTTAATGCATTTTTATGGTAGACACTTTTATGGCATTTGATTTAAGTCTATGGCATTCTATTCCATATAATTTATCATGCTGTCTTTTGAGCTATTATTTTCATGTTTGGTATGGTTTTTTATACAATTTTGATTTTTTTATGTCTTTTATGATTCCTATCAGTAGAGAGGTATCTTATTATTATTTTTATAATGTCGTATTTTATATTCTTAATTTTTTACCTCCATATAGTTTGTGAATCATGGAATCACTTATATATATATATATATATATATATATATATATATATATATATATCTTGCTCACATATGTTCATATTTTAGTGCATATCTCTGTATGTATATCAGGCTACAGTCTGGAGAGAGCAGGCGGCTCCCCTCTATTTTTGTTATACATTTCTCAATCATTCGTTGTCTAATTTAGTTTTACATGCAATTTTTGTCACAATGATAGTCATTATATGGGTTACCGTACTTACCCATTTAATATTTATTAATATCAGTATTGCTAATTATAACAATAATTTGTGTCCCACTATCTACTGTATTAATTGGCTGTATTTGCAAGAATACATAAGCTGCCTGTACTATCTCCGCTGACCCACGGAAAATGGCGCCTACACATGCGCACTTTCCGTTTTTGGTCTTCGGCATTTGTGTTAATGGTCTGGACTAATGCAAAATGGCGCCCGCAACCATGCACATTTTGCGTTAATTTCTGGCAAGATGGCGCCCGCTAATTGCGCGCACCATCTAGGGCTATTTAAGGAGCAGAATTGTATCAGGCGGCAATGCCACACCCCTTTTGAAAACGTACTATCGCATGAAACGCGTCAAGGAGGAGCCTGCACGCCCTGACGTCACTCCGCCGGATCATGGAGGTCTAGCTGCCATACAGTTGCAAGAAAAAGTATGTGAACCCCTTGGGATTACGTGCGCATAAAATGTGCTCTGAACATCATCTAAGTCACAACAATAGAAGAACACAGTCTGCTGAACATAATACTACACAAACATTAGATGTTGCCATGGTTTAATTGCACATAACATGTAAACATTCACAGTGCAGGAGGAAAAAGTATGTGAGGCCCTAGCTTAATGACTTCTCCCAGAGCTAATTGGAGCCAGGAGTGAGGCAACATTGACTCCAATCAGTGTGATGATATTGGATGTGTTGCTGACAGCTGTCCTGCCCTTAAAAAACACACACTGTTTTGGGTTTACTGGTTTCAAGAAGCACTGTCTGATGTGAACCATGCCTCGCAGAAAAGAGCTCTCAGAAGACCTACGATCAAGAATTGTTGACTTGCATGAAGCTGGAAAGGGTTACAAAAGTATCTCCAAAAGCCTTGATGTTCAGGTGTCCACGGTAAGACAGACTGTCTACAAATGGAGAAAGTTTAGCACTGTTGCTACTCTCCCTAGGTGTGGTCGTCCTGTAAATAGACTGCAAGAGCACAGCGCAGAATGCTGCATGAGGTAAAGAAGAATCCCAGAGTGTTAGCTAAAGACCTACAGAAATCTCTGGCACATGCTAACATTTTTGTTGACACATCTACAATAAGGAAAACATTAAACAAGAATGGAGTACACCACGGAGGAAGCCATTGCTGTCCAAAAAGAATATTGCAGCACGTTTGAAGTTTGCAAAAGAGCACCTGGATGTTCCACAGCACTATTGGCAAAATATACTGTGGACAGATGAAACCAAGATTGAGTTGTTTGGGAAGAACACACAACACTATGTGTGGAGAAAAAAAGGCACAGCACACCACCATCAAAACCTCATCCCCACTGTAAAACATGGCGGAGGGAGCATCATGGTTTGGGGCTGCTTTGCTGCCTCAGGGCCTGGACGGATTGTCGTCATTGATGGGAAAATGAATTCCAGAGTTTATCAAGACATTTTGCAGGAAAACGTACGACCATCTGTCCGCCAACTGAAGCTCCGCAGAGGATGGGTGATGCAACAGGACAATGACCCAAAGCATACAAGTAATTCAACAAAACAATGGCTGCAACAGCACAGAATATGCCTTCTGGAGTGGCCCAGTCAGAGTCCTGACCTCAACCCGATTGAAATGCTGTGGCATGACCTTAAGAGAGCGATTCACACCAGACATCCCAAGAATATTGCTACACTGAAACAGTTTTGTGAAGAGGAGTGGTCCAAAATTACTCCAGATCGTTGTGCAGGTCTGATCTGCAACTACAGGAAACGTTTGGTTGAGGTTATTGCTGCCAAAGGAGGGTCAACCAGTTATTAAGTCCAAAGGTTCACATACTTTTTCCTCCCTGCACTGTGAATGTTTACATGTTATGTGCAATTAAACCATGGCAACATCTAATGTTTGTGTAGTATTATGTTCAGCAGACTGTGTTCTTCTATTGTTGTGACTTAGATGACGTTCAGAGCACATTTTATGCCCAATTCATGCAAAACTCCACGTAATCCCAAGGGGTTCATATACTTTTTCTTGCAACTGTATACCACCTGATATAGGAGTGGTGGAGCTATAGAACTGTAAAGATACTTTGGGTATATATATATTGTTTTTACTGGATGTTTCGACAACGACTGATGTGTGTATAGAAGGGAGGAGGTTAAATTCTTTCATAAGGAATTCAAAATTCATGTAATTTTTAACACAAATATCTTGTATTGTGCGTATGCCATTATGTTTCCAGGTCTAGATATCTATGCTAGGCATTACCACTTCTATGGCTGTTATAGGTATAGGAAGAGGACTTGTTCGGAGAGGATCTATAGACATTGAGCATAAGGATTTCAAGGCTTCAATTGAGGCTCGTATAGTTGGTGTTGTTTTACTAGTGGAAATCCTTTTCCACGAGCTTGCTAGTAGAATGGTGCTTAAATCTGTAGTAGAGACTAGAGTTTTTTTCAACGTCACCCAATTTTGTATCATCTTCCACTATAAACCAATGTTTAAGTTGGTCTAATAATGATGCTCTGTGATAGTCCTCAATGTCAACAAATCCCATTCCTCCTATTTTTTGTGTTTGATTAATATATTATGTGAGCATCTAGGTCTCCTATTTCCCCAGATTTATTTTTTTAAGCATAGATTGTAGTTTTGTTAGATATGAAGATTTAATTGCGATTGGAATTGATCTTAATAGATATAAAATCTGTTGCAATATGAACATTTTAAATGCGGCCATTCTGCCAGAGCAGGATAGTTCATGTTTAGCCATTTGACTAAGGTGGGTTTGAATTTTTGGAACTAATTTAGAATAATTGAGAGTTCCTAGGTCAGATATTTTGTTTGTCAACAATATTTCAAGATAAAGAATGGCTTAATTTTCCCAGATGTAGGAAAATTTGTTTTGCCGGTGCATTTTTAGAATGTGATCTATACCTGGATTTAAGATATTAGATTTGGATGCATTTATTTTATAATATCAAATATTACTGAATTGTATGAGAGTTTGTTGAATTGCTGCTAAAGAAGTAGAGGGATTAGTTAGCAGTAAAATGATGCCATCCGCAAAGAGCGTTATTTTGTGGTGTTTTTTACCTAGATAGAAGCCATGTATATCTGGATTGTTTCTTTTTAGTTTCAGCAAGAGGTTCAATGGATAGGTTAAAAAATAGTGGCGACAATGAGCATCCTTGTCTGGTACCATTAGTAATTAAGAATGGTTTGGATAGCATGTTGGATACATAGACTTGGGCTATTTTTGTAAACTGCTGAAATAGCTTTAATACTTGTTCCTGAAAATCCAGATTTATGCAGTACTTGGAACATGTATGTCCAGTGTATCCTATCAAAAGCCTTTTCGGCATCCAGAGCAAGTAATAAGGAGGGAATTTTATGTGAATCTGCATAATGAAGTATGTTGATTAGTTTCCGGGTTGCTTCAGATATTTTTCTACCTTTTTTAGTAG